CAGCGATGCGCTTTTAATGTCATCTATGCTTGCAAAACGACGGTTCTCTTTATTTTTGGGAATAGGAAAAAGTCAGACAGAGGCCTGTCTGGCGAATATGGAGGCTGGGGCATCATTACAGTATTGTTTTTGGCCAAAAATTTTGTACAAAATTTAACAATTTTAGAACAAATTTTGCTGCCACGCGTTTCATACCCAAAACATTCAAAAAAATGTCATGGGATGAGCCGATATACCAACATCATCAGCGACTTCTCTGATGGTTTATAACCATTTCTTCCACTTTTTCCATGTTTTTATCGGTTGTTAATGTGCTTGTGCGTTTGGGGCGTTCGTCATCTTTAACGTCTTCACGGCCGTCTTGGAAACTCTTATACCACTTGTAAAATCTTGTTTTACTTATAGCAGACTCACTATAGGTCTTTGTTAACATTTCACAAAATTTTTTCATTTTTTAAGCAAAATTGGATACAAATTCCTTGATACATTTCTTTTACGAACGAAAAATCGCCGAGCTCATAAAACACGTCTAACCTTAGCGGCTGCCACAGACAAAGTAAACAATGAAAACAGCTAAAGTTTTTTTCATACTTCGGGGGCATGTATACCAACATAATAAAGAAAATTTTATGACAACCGGACCCTCCGAACCCGCGAAATTTAACAATTCCTGTTATTTTCTGAACACACCTCGTACATTTATTTATAGGTTAATTTTCAGTATTTTACGTGTAATTTCATAAAAAATAATAATGTATTTTTAGTTTTTTTATTATTCGTAAGCGAAAATTGAAGTTCTTGGGGGGTTTAAACACCCAAACCGTGGGCATGGGTCAGCATGAGCACGCTTATAAGATTTCCATAAAAAAACTATAATAATAAATTATTAAGCTATCAAAATGCCTATTTAGTTTCTTGAATTTGGAAACAAATTTTTAAAATAATCCATGGGAAATTAATTAACAACGTTTTATTTTTACTACATCGGCACTGCTGAATTTGCTGCCACAGCCTGCTTTATTTATTAAACCCTTCAAATGAAGATACTACCCTAAAATAAAAACATTTTAAAATTGATTCTCATTTAGGTATCCATATAAAAACAGGTATTCCCTGGGGTAATCAGCATTTCGTGCCTCGGTTTTTAGCAAATAAAAATTTTGTCAATTCGTCTAAACAAATTTGCTGGGGTAAAGGAAAGAAAAGTAAGCCAGAAATGTCGCAAACGTAGATGGCTTGCACAAACATATCTTGTTTACTTTAAGAAAATTGTCAAGTTACGGGGGTTCGTCATAAAATCAAATCTTTCTTTTTTGTGGTGGTAGGATCAAGGTAGACATGGAATCACGTGTTCAGAGGTACTTTAATTGTATTAAAAACTTCTTAACTTTTATGTAAATTAAGCCTAATACCTAGTGTGATATAGCCAATAACATCAAATTAAAATTAGGTAAAACAATTTGTTTCACGGTGCAAAACAAAATTCGCGGCCATAAATTAAATTCGTTCGGTTGTTTAATTGAACAACGGAGAGCGCGGGCGGCCGGTTTGTCGGCCATTATAAAATCGGTCCAATTAAAATAGTTTTTTTTTAATTCGATCGTAGTGGTCTCCGTCATCGCTATCGTCCTCGCTAATTGCACGCTTGCCTGCAATAATGACACAACAATTCGGAAAATTTGAATTACGGCTTATTTGCCCGTAATAATAATTGAAACGATGACAAGACGTGAAATTTATAGCTGGCGATTATGTTAATAAATAATCGATTCGATCGGCCATTGTTCCAATTATAACGGCTTTGATTGTTAATTAGGCGTCTAGTTTGGCTGAATTATGCGCTGCCGTCTATTTTTTTGTTGGTTAATTGCACTATAATGTATAAAACTGACAAACTTCTTTGCGGGCGGGGTAAACCAAAACTTGGCGTCACGAAATATTAAACGAAAACGCCGAGCGCATATGCTTGTGTTGTAAATTCGCACAGTATTATAAATTTAAAAAATGGTAGGACAAATTCGCAGTGGTTCAAAATTAAAAAATTTGGGTACAAATTTCCTAAATTTTAGTTTTTAATTTTTTTTAATATTTTTAATTTACCTACATAATTCCGAGCATAATTTTTGGATTTATAAAATTTACAAAATTTTTAAAAAATGAAATATGAATTTTGTGGTCGAACTCAAATTTGGCAAGTCGAAAACCCTAAAATGTAATCTAATCTCTTTTTTAAACATTTTCTGTAAAAGTGTAAAAACTGGAATACTCGTACTCGCTCATGCTTTTTGCTAAATAAAATACTTGTCTTCCAAAAATTTTTTTTTCACCATAAAAGAGCTGCAGTCCTGTTTTAAATCAAAAATAGTATCACAAACTACGTAAGTAAATTGATAAAGGTTTTTAATTTTTTAAAATTAGGTACTTCTATTAGTAAAAACAACTGTTAAAAAATAAAAACCGATTTTTAAGATGAAAAAGGGCGGTAAACATTTTTTTCTTCAAAAAATAAGTGTCACCAAAATATTTTCTCCCAGGGTTTTTTTAATACGTATTCACTGAAATACTATTCAGATAAAATAACGGTTCGAAATTTGGTTGTTTTTTAAAACCGACTTAAATAGTGTAGTTGTGGTTATTTTGTAAATATAAATATAAAGTTACCACATTTCTTAAATACAAACCTCATCCAAACATTTCAATGGGTGATTCCAGAGCGCAAACTATTAAAAATGTATCTAAGATATTAAAGATGACACTTATAACATAGAACCAAAAATTTTCAAAAAATCTAAAACCAACCGATTTTTAACAAAAAAATAAAATGTAAAAATGTAAAAATAAATAAAAACTCATTAGATAGAAAATACCCAATAAAATAAAATTGAGATGAAACCTCATGCCCATGCATGGGCGCCGGAAGGGGGATAGAGGGCGTAGTAGCCCGCTCTGTAAAATTAAAATATTAAACTACAGCTCATTTGAAGGTCGTTTAAATATTTTAAAAAATGAAAAAAAACTCGTTTTTTTATTTTTTTATATCCTTTATTTATTTCAAATGTTTATTTTATTAATGCAATCAATCAGTTGTGGTTTTTACTCCTTTTTTGCAAATAAAACAAATTTAATTTAAAATTATTTAATTAAACAAAAATAAATACATGTTTTGTAGAATGTAAAGAAGTCACACTGTGACGAAACAAGAGCCAAAATTAAATAAATCACGTAAAACTTTAAAAACATAGTTGTTTTTATATTTACTTAATAATAATCAAGTAAAGGTCGAAATAATCAAATATGTCATTTAATATTTAAATTATGAAAAAAATAGTTTACCTTATTTATTTTCTAAATTGCATATTTTTTAGTACACCGCGCGAGTAACTAAGGGTTTATAGTATATGTATATGTATATTATGTGTCAAATTTTAGTTACGAGTTTTATTAGGCACGAGCAAAGCTTGCGGGCAAGTGTTTAATAAAAACGAGTGGCTAGAGAAGTTTTAAAACGAGTTGCATAGGTACTATACTTCATCTACAACGAACAGAAATAAAAATTTAAAAGCAGCTTTAATAAATATTTGACATTTGACAAATTTAACCTTACTTTTTCGCAATTTATAATAAAGCTAACTTCAGCCCGTGACTAAAACACCATAAAGTCACAGCTCGTCAATCTAGGAGTAGATAATAGTATATAAGGTATCAAGTTTTATAAACGCCATTTTAGGTACGAACGAAGCTTGCGAGCGAGTGTTTAAGGCCATAAAGTCACAGCTCGTCAATGTAGAAGTAGATAAAAGTTATTTGTTTTACAAGTGTTAAAAAGAGACATTTTCATGCGAGTAAGTTGCTCACGAGGTTGTCAGGCCTAGTGTGCATTAATACGAGCTTGAAGAAAGCTTTTCTCACAAGTGAAACACAATTTTTTTTTCTACAACCCTTGTATTTTCTCAAATACAAAACAAAATAACCTAAAAATGTTTTTTCACAGCTGTTTAAATTACTTTTATCTTATTTTTTTTTAATTTTTAAGGTATAAGTTACTTAAACTACAAATTAGAATTTATTATACAAGAACAATTAATTGTGTTCTAAATGATATTTAGACACACATATACAAAATTTGTATTACAAATACATTACAAATTTTAATGAAATCACGCAAATTCGAAGAAATCGAGCTGTTGTACGTCTGAATTTCAAACGATGCTGTCAATTTATTTTCACACAGAAATGTCACTTTTCAAACAGACCTGTCACTTTTCACACAAAAATGTAAATTTACATTCGAGTTTTGCCTTGCCAATGAAAAGATTAATTTTCTAAGCAACGATGCTATTATGCTATTACGAAATGTAACTTTTACATAGCGGTCGTGGAAAAAAATTCTTAAATTTGTTATAGATGTCCAAAATTGTTTATAAAACTGCTGTTTTACTTGACTGTTCAAAAATTGCGTTTAAACTATCTAAAATGTTTTAAAACGGACTGAATTGTCTTTCCTTAAAATTGGCTTTATTTTGTGGCTATCCTAAAAGTAAACCAATCAAAAATATAATTTTTCATAATTTTAGGTCTCGTCGCGTCCTTTAAACCATACGTATTATCTCTTATTAAATTATTTTTTCTTTGTATCCGACGTTAATGTCGCCCGCATTACTTCATTTCTATACCTCTCCAACATCCTCCATCTCTCTTTCCCTCCGGTCCAAAGAGAGCGACAAAAAGAGTAATGGAATGTAGTGTAGTGCGGAATTGACGCGAACGTTCTTATTTCCACAGGGAATAGTCAACAGAAGACTTCATCTCATAACTCAATTTTTACAAACTGCCTCTTATCACAAAAACCTGACGACAGCGGCGACTGGAGGCGGTTGCTTTTAACGCGCCGCCCCATAATCCACCTCACGCCACAGAAATCTATTTATCTATTGAATCAATCGCACTGATCAAATAATAGATTGTTTTTTATTATTACTGAAATGACTTTTTTGTTTCAGTGTCCACGACATCTTCAGAGGACAAAAAACCATGCAGCACGTCGTCGGACATTGTCAAGTTGGCGGTTAAAAGGCCCAGGCCCAAAGCCGCCTCTCCGAATCGACAGGGCCCTCAGCAATGTCAGGTAAGATGACAATTTTAATTTGTTTTTTTAGATAAATTAATAATTATTGGTAAATATTTTTACTAAAAATTTTTTAACATACATTTTACTAAATTCTTTTATATTGATCCATTTTCTTAAATATTGTATCTACTGGGCTCAATTGATTTATATATTTGTTTTTTGCTTCATTTTGTTATTTTGATTATCTTTCTTACTGTGCACCAGACTTGGTGTGTCCAGATAATACACGACGAGTTTACCCACTCCACTTTCATGACGTAGTGTAAAAAGAAAAAGAAACTCCATAGGTCTTGGAGAAGATAAAGCGTCATGAACATCAGTAGGTTATTTGTGTGGACTTAAAAATGGTAAACTTTCTCCTTGGACAAAAAGTGGTTAAAACCAAATATTCTTGTGTCTTTGGGATAGCAGAGACAAAACACACCACTCGGTTAGAAAAGAGTTGCCTAAGAGAGAATACATGGATGTTGAGGAAAAAAATTTCATTAACGACCACTTAACAAGAGTAAATCATTTTCCTCTTGTGAAGCAATTCGTAAAGGCTCTTGACAAGAGCGGATTATGCTTTGCATATATGGAGGAAAAAATGCCTTAGTTAATTTGGGCCCACAAATAAGACAACTCCTTATTAACCAGTCCTTAAGGATCATGCCTTCATAAATGTGATGAATGAGGTTAAGCGGAAGGCCTGGATTTTATTTGTTGCAGTTGTTGCAAATTTTTGCGTTTTCTTAGAAAATTTAGTATTACTATGTTGAACTAGTTAACAAGATGCTTGACAGTTTTAAATCCCTTAAGGGATGCAATTGCATGTAACATAAGTATTTGCATGTAACATAAGTATTAAGGTTCCCTATTTACACAGCCACTAATGGTTTTCCTGACAATTTAGGAGACATGAGTAAGGAACAAGGTGAAATATTTCACCAGGATATTAAAACTATGGCGCTAATAATGGCAGATTACTGCTAAAGTTTAAAAAGGGACTTTTTCAAAACAAATTAAAAAAAGTCGCAAAAAATACTTAAGTGACTTCAGTTCAGTGACCATGTACTGGGTTTCATCAATGACTGTTGCGTATATCTTTGTAGAATATAATAATTAACATTACATTTGATTTGATCCATAAATTAAAATGCTGGAGTTGATTTCACAAATAATTTATTGATTTTAATTATTTTACAAACTGTTTGTTAAAAGTGACCATGTCGTCGTCGTCATCATCGATGACTGTTTGATTTATCTTTTTAGAATATAATAAACATTACATTTGATTTGATTCATGAATTAAAATGCTGGAGTTGATTTTAGAAATTATTTCTTGGGTTTGATTGTTTCACAAACTGCTTGTTAAAAGTACAAAGACAGACTGATTCTCATAAGATTGAAATACATTATAATACTCACAGGCAAAATAATCGATCCACACAAATTTTCGATGAATTTCAATCGCAAATTTTCGATGAATTTCAATCGCAAATAACTTTTTTATTTGAGTTCGGATTTAAACAACTATTAAATAATATTGTAGATAAATTAATGGAGAATCGCTCACATTTTAAAAACTACTAAAAAATAGACGTTCGTTCATAATATACAGGTTTAAACAAAAAGATGTTTTTTACCATAAGTTTAAGACACTCTGTAGAGTGGCAAAACCGTATATTGTTCTAAATTATATTTTAATTATCAAGTCACATCTATTTTTAACAGTTTTGTTTTTGGTTCACCTTGATATATTTATTTTTATGGAATATATGGTTTTTTTTTAAAGAACATTTCCAATATTTTTTCTGTAGAAGAACTAAGGTTGCTATGGTCCATCCATAGCGTATGGAGGGTGACAGTAACAGTTTTGTTGAATTATCCCATGCTTGGACATGTCATATACGGCTTTCAAAAGCTATCAAATTGTTTTTTGTAAATTAATGTGTTAATGATGAGGTGTCTTCTTACTTTAAAAAATGTATGTCTCCGACTGATGTTGCCCTTTATACTTTACTTCTTGTGACGTTTAAAACACTTGCAACGTAATACTGTGACCGTCCATCCTGAATAAAATCAATGGCCCTGGCAACATCAGTCGGATACATATCCATTTTTAAAAGTAGGAAGACACCTTAAAATTTAAACATTAATTTGCAAAAAACTATTTGATAGCTTTTGAAAGCCGTATATGACATGTCCAAGTATGGGATGATTCAACAGAACTGTCACTGTCATCCTCCATAGCCTATGGATGGACCATAGCAAATCTTAGTTCTTTTTACAGAAACAATATCGAAAATTGCAATGATTTTTTAAAAAATCCATATTTTCCACAAAAATAAATATATCGAGGTGAACCAAAAACAAAACTGTTAAAAATAGATGTGACTTCATAATTAAAACTTAATGTAGAACAATATACGGTTTTGCCACTCTACAGAGTGTCTTAAACTTATGGTAAAACACATATTTTTGTTTAAACCTGTATATTATAAACGTACGTCCATTTTTTAGTATTTTTTTAAAATGTAAGCGATTCTTCATTAATTTATCTACAATATTCTTTATTATTCGTTTAAATCTAACATCAAATAAAAAAGTTACTTGCGATTGAAATTCATCGAAAATTTGTGTGGATCGATTATTTTGTATGTGAGGGTACATGTATGTACATTAGGGTGTCCCTTATTTTTATTTTTTTTACGCATACCCTCTAATTATGTTTATTACATGTTTATATACTGCCAGTAAAAATTTAAGCTCATTCTATAAACGGGAACCCGTGCCGACTTGCATCTGAACCCTCCGTTAGTCAACGTTAGGCGCGCGGTATTTTGTAACACGGTTGGTCGCGAGGTCTTCGATCGTAAGTCATTTTGTGTTTGTTATTATGTGACCCTTAAATTATAAATTATTGACAAATGTTAAAATATAATTTTATATATGTGTATACTTTGATAAAAATGTATATTTTCACAGGGAGTGGCTAGTTACCCGGAAGGGTCTGAAATTGATAAACTTAATGGGTTTTACTCTAAATAACTAAAAGAGTCTAATGTGAGAGATGACTACCGAAATTTTATTGAACTGTCTGAAATATTTTTGGGAGGACATCAAGAAAAGAAATGCTTATAAAAAGCTGAAATTTCATATAACAGTATATTTTAGCAATACTAATTAGTATATTAATATATTTAAGGGATAAAATCAACTAAATTAGTGAAACAAATGATAGAAACAAAAGCAATAATATTAATTAGTAATCATATTTAATAAAATCATGAGAAAAATACAGTCATGAAGTATATCTTCTTTTTAAAGTGTTTCGTGTTACAAAATACCGCGCGCGCCTAACGTTGGCTAACGGAGGGTTTGGATGCAAGTCGGCACAGGTTCCCGTTTATAGAATGAGCTGAAATTTTTACTGGGAGTATATAAACAAGTAATAAATATAATTAGAGGGTATGCGTAAAAAAAATAAAAATAAGGGACATTTGCTGATATATGTCGCAGATCTAAAGTATTTGGAATATACTTTTCTGGGAAAGCATCTTACAATTATTGGTATACATATTATGTATACAACACATGGATTCTTAAAACGTGTGTAACGTAGGTATATTTCACTAAATTTGACATTTCAGAAATTTGAGCTGCTAGGTGAGAACCAATGCCATAATTGAACACCATATTTGAACAATTGTTATGAATATTTTAAGCATTTTTATGCCTATTTAAAGATTTATGTTGCACCAGACCAAAAAAGTTTCAATCATTGCGTAATTCCGTCAACTACGTAATAAGCCTTGTATGCGATAGTGGAGAGGGACGAGAAAGAAAAAAAAGTGTATTGCACGCCCACCGATGAGAATAACAGTGCTGGTGTGTGTGTGAGCAGAAGCCCTGGTAAATGTAATATAACGCATTCCTTTAGTCTTGTCGAGCGTATTATTTCCTGGTTTAATATATTAAAGAGAAGAGTAGGCAGGCCTCTTCAAATATTATTCCTGCGTTACCCCTCCTAAAACCCCGTCCCTGTCAGTTTGTGTGCTCTAAAACAGACAAAATCATCGTATAATTAGAGAGGGAATGTTATTACAATCGTTTGAAATAATAGAATTAATTTAATGCGAATGTTGAAATTAGTGGTCTATGAATAACGTACTGAAATTTGATGTGTTCATTTGATTTCAAATTCATGATTTTTTAGAAAAACGATCAATAAAAAATTACGAAACAACATCGAACATGACAGAATTGCACAAATGTAACGTTGAATGGTTTGAAAGAAAGATAGAGAAGATACATCGTAGTTTCTTGGGTGTCAAACACGGCAAATGTGATGATTTAATTCTTTAATAGAAAGAAATTTTTATTCCAGTTTATTTTTATGTTTATTAAAATACGCGAACATAAAGCTTTTCCTTTTACATACAATGGATAGAAAAAAGTCCACGTCGAATTTTGTTTATATTGGGAATTATTTTTTGTTTCGTTGCGTTGCGCTCAGTTGTTTGTGTCTCTCGACATCGCAGTGTTTTATGCTGCGGCCGTATAATTTGTCGAGTGCGGATTTATTCAAATGGACGGCTTTTTTAATTCTATACAAATAGATTTTGAAAAATAATAAAACACTGTGGATTTATAATTTAAATTTATTCACATATAAAAGCCCAGGTTTTATTTTACATGGACATGTACGGTCCCCTATTGTTCATGGGTTTTTTCAATGTTTGTGCTTTCTCATTTATAAGTATTTTTTTATAAATAAATAAACAATTAAAAGGTTTTATCTTACCCACTAAAAAAATATATATATTTATATATATTTATAATTTTTTTTTTGATAGGCCTTTAATTTAAACCAACATCATTTTTGCCTTTTTTAGAATAAAAAACATGCCTTTTTAGTACTATTTTTTAATTACGGTATATAAAAAATAAACACCGATTTAAACACCAAATCTGCAAAGCTTTGCTCTGACCCTATGTGACCACCCAGATTTAAAACTGTGTTTTTTTGTGAGGGGAGCTATGGTGCAATACTATTATCAGAGAAATGCACCGACGTTCTTCTTCCTCTTACAAAATAATTTTATCTTGACTAACCACGATTATATGGCAATTTTTCGAAAATTCACGTTATTCTTCACTTAAGTCCCAAAAATGAGCAAACTACGGAATGTATCAACACAGCGTTTTAAGGTGGGTCACGTGCTTTCAGTTTATGTACGTTCCGTGATTCATTAAAAGTGAAATGTTTTACACAAAAGCAATTTGTTTCGGTGAAATTCAAAATAAAAACGCAAACCAAACAAAATTATCCTCGTAAACTTATTCAGGATATATTCATGCAATTTTCTACAAACTGTTGACTATGAAAGTTTAAAAATATGGCGAATATCTGGTTTTGAGTTTCCTCCCTTTAATTATTCTTGTCATTTTTTTCGTCGAATATGAAAACATTTTTCAAACAGCAAAACACATTAAAAAAAATAAAATGACGGATGTAAGGTTGCATACCACGCAAGACGAAGAGCTGCCTGCCCTCTTTTTTTGCTAGAAGAAATTGGGGAATGGCAGATATGAGACATATTTTTTAAACTTTCAACTGCCTCATGAATGGGAATAACTTGAAATTTTGGAAAAAATACATCTCTTCGTTTAACACCCTGTGGTATAATGCTATGTGCAAAATATCGTATTCCCAAAATTAGACATAAGAGTCAAAGAATCAGCTATTCAGAATTTCTAAAGATTTTCAAAATCGATTCAGTAATTTTCCAATAACGAGGTTTCAAATATTTTCCAAAAAACTATGTGCATCGATTTTTATGACAAGCAGTTTATTTCATAAAATAAATTTTATATTTTATTGTCTCCAATGAGCTAGTGCTTTATCTAGTTTATATCGTACAGCTTTGTTGAGTTTGTATATATTTTAAATTTTTAAAATGTTTGGCTTGTCAGTGTTTTTTATAAGTCACTGACTGCTATTTTTTACCAGTAATATAGTTAACAAAACACTTATTAGTAAACAAATTGTTTATAACAACCTGAAAAATTGACGCCATTAAATTTTATAAAATGACATATTATGTGGTAAGCATAGATACCGTCAACTCACCCGTCACAGGTTTCTTTATACAAAATATTATTTAAAATTTTTGAAAATGTTAAATATCTCTAAAATTATTAACTTTAGGTATATGGAAACATCAATCAAAGGGTTTTTAAATTTACTATTTGATTATGTAAAAACATAACAGGTGTTACGTTTAGAATAAACAAGTTATTAACCTTTCAAACGACATTGAATCTTTTAAAAAATGTTTAATATAAAACAGTTCCACCGCCATATCCGCAAAACCTAATGACAAAAAAGTTATATTTTATACAAAATTTAAAAATGTAAAAATATATGGGGTGTTCTACTTGAAATAACAAAGTTGATGTCAGGATTTTAAAATTTCAAATCGATATCTTTTTTTGTTCCCTAGAAACTTCTAATAGACCACAAATGTGAAACACCCTGTATATAAAATATATTGTTTTTTTCGATTTATTTCTACTTATATTTATGGATTATGAAGAATTTATTTAGGTAGAATTTATATTAAAATAAACGAGTTTATTTTGTAATATTGCTTTCTGTGCCTATTTTGCCTTTTAACCTTCCTATTTTGCTTGTTTGGGCTTTGGCTTTGCCCTTTTACATTTTTAAGTGCCTTTAAGTCCAGTCTCTAGTCATTAGTAAATCTTTAAATGTAAGTGTTTCAAGGAAGCTTCCTTGAGGGACACCACCAAAATCATGCATTTTAACATATTTTTTTATTTTAATTATTTTTTACAGGTTTGTGCAAAGATATTCGGAAACGCATCTGCCCTAGCAAAACATAAATTAACGCATAGTGATGAAAGAAAATATGTATGCAGCATGTGTGGAAAGGCTTTCAAACGTCAAGATCACCTGTAAGTATAAGCAATATGTTAATCTCTAAATTTATTTCTGGAAAAAAATTTCCTGTTAATAAAAGGTATTTTTTCCCACACTCTTAAAAAAATACATAATGAATTATTTTTTTATTTAAAGAAATGGCCATATGCTGACCCACCGCAACAAAAAACCGTACGAATGCAAGGCCGAAGGCTGCGGCAAAAGTTACTGCGACGCCCGCTCGCTGCGCCGCCACACCGAGAACCACCACAGCGGGAGCGGCGGCTCAACTTCCAACGTTGGCGGCAGCTCGTCGACGACCATGTCACCCGCTCAGGGCGCAGCTTCAGGCGACGCAGCTTCGCCACACGGTTCCAGCTGCATACAGTACGCACCGCCTCCAACCTCCACCAGCGGGGGCGTTACCTCGGGTACGGCGGGAAAAAGTCAGCTACAGCAGCTGTTAGCGGTAGATCCAGCAAAGGTAGGAAACTAGGAGGTCTCTAGTTTTATGACGATTTCCCTCGTCTTAATTTCCACCAATCACAAACGCGCAATTTTGAACTACAAATGGTTTCTAGGTGGAAAAACTGTATGACAGCACCTGTCAGCAGTTTCTTCGAGTTTACCCGCGGCCACGGTCTTATATACAGGTCTTGCAACTTCGCCCAATTTCAATAGGAAAAGTAACCTCTCTAATGAGACACCCACCAGATGGCGCATCGAGTTATGGATAAACCATAGATGTTTAAAGGTCGTTTTTACCTTCTTTATCTTTGGGTTTTACAATCGTTAGATAAGCTCTCTGGTGGATAATTTTCTTAGATAGAAGGTTTCTATGAAAGTTATCCGCCAAATAAGCTTACTTAATCTAACGATTGTAAAACCGGCTCTAAGTCCTTAAAGTCTATGGGATAAAAGGTCAAATGAACTACCTACTTATGTTCTGTGCACGGTCTTATATAAGACCGTGCCCTTGGTTGGTTTACAAACTAGCCGCTAATTTAGTTAAAAATACGTTTTCAATTAAACTAGCTGACAGTTTGGCTAGTTTATAAACTACCCAGCTACTTTATAAACTATCCATGTTTACACATTAGCCGTAACATATATATGATATACGTATGTATTTTATACATTAACATGTTTAACTTACATGTTTGGTCTGGGCATGTGACGGCCAAGGACTTTGTGCATAGAGTATAGACTTTCTGTCTTATTTTGTTAACGTAAATTATCCGAAACAAACTCACAAATATTAAATTTTTGAAAATGTAAACAAAACATAGAAAAAGAATTTAAAAAGTTAGGTTATGGTTATGCAGTAGTTCCACATTTAACTAAGTAGTTCATTTAATTGACTTTGCCCTTCGATCTTAGCGCCACCTAGCGGCTTGGCACGTTAAGGAAGCCACCTCGAAGCTTAAAGTTGCAAGACCTGTATATAAGACCGTGCCCGCGGCAAACCTTGACAGCTGTTGTCACCAAAAATTGCAATTTATATTTTAATTGTTAACTGTTACTCATGAAATAGTCTTGTCAAATACCATTCAGGCATCTAATTTTTCCTGTGGAAAACCAGCAGTCATGCTTCTTGTTAAAATAGATGTCCTTATGATACTACTTACGAATAAACAATACTTCTGGGATATCCAAACAAAATATTAATAAGCGTTTCAGTTGGCGGCCAGTCTGGATACACAAGTAGGTGTATTTTTTTCCCAACAGCTCATTCTTTACCGGTAAAGGAGATGGGCAATTTCGTAGAGAGAGTCTAAAAAAGACAAATTACGAGTTTATGAATTAAATTTAACGGAGCTTTTGTAATCTAGGTCAAGCACCTTTTAGGAACGACGTCAACCGTAAGTAGCGGGTATTAGTTTCAATCATTTTCCTTGCGATTTTACGCCGCGACGATACAATCGGAATGAAAATTAAAATTTTCGAACCGAGAAGGTTTTAGATGGCTAAATTTAGAACAGCAGTTTTATTAAACGACAGAGTTTAAAAGGGCCCTTCTCTGCTTTTAGAGAGTCACTTATTTGTTGCTTTTATTTTATTTTTTATGTAATTCCTATTGATTGCAATAAAAGCTTCTTCTACTTGGACGTTACCATTGTAAGCAAACTACAACTTTTAAGCTGTCAAACGCATATGTTACAAAGGAGTGTTTTGAAAATAAGGTCGAAAAATGTTAAAAATATCGAGAGGAAATCCTAATGAAGAAATAAATTGCATACAGTCCCTGTAAATAAAAATTGTACCAATTATAATTAATAATCTAAAGATTTAACATTTTAACATTCAGTAAAAATCATAAAGTCGTCTAAATTCAAACAGCGTTATGCATTATTAAAAGCGTTGGTTAAGAAAGTCTTTACTCAATAATAAAAAAACAAAAACTTGTATTATATTATGTATTAGTAGAAACAGGTCACTTAAGGATAAATTGAAGTACAACAGCAAATATTGAAAGTATTTTTAATAAAATATATAAAAGAAAAATAGAAGGAGAGAAAGATCAAAACTAAGTCATACTTTGAAATAATAGGTAATTTAAAAAAAATACTTTGACAGGTCTTGATCACAGTGGCTGGAAATACCAGTCAGCATGTGGGTTATCCACAGTGGGTAATACCAGTCAAGTACGTTGAAGACAAAAGTCGCACAAGTAGTCCTCGGCAGAGTCATATCCTGAGAATTCAGCGTTAGCCTACTGTCCAGATTGTACCCAACTATACCACAACTCGTTGTCCTGACCGCAATCATTACAGATAACACATTTGATTTTTTCATCTGTGTCGGTATCGATTTCTTCATCGTCATTTAGATCCGTCATTTCAATTTCAGACTCTGATGTACTAGTGTTCTCATCCTGAAACACACGCTTGCTTATCTTCTCGAACTCTGCAGCCTTAACCTTTCCTCTTCGTATCCTTACTTCTAGGTTGATTGTTTCTTTTTGTGTCCATCTTTTTATTATGTTGCCATGAATTCGTAGATAAATTTTGTGCTTTACTATTTTAAAATATTTTAAAATATAGTTTTTTTAGAGGACTCAAAAATAAAAATGTTTGATTAAGGTTATGTTTGTAAAACAATTATTTTTTGTTAAAATTCTTAAAATGTCCAAATTAAATATAAATTATATTATATTATTATTGCACCAAAAAAATATATTTGTATATACATATATGTACATACAGAATTGGATCCTTTGGCAAAACATGAAAATTCACCATGATCACTTAGATAAAATACACACACTAACGTAACTGTATAGACATATAAGCGTTGGGTTTTGTAATATTAAATCAAAAAAAGTGCTAATCCAAAGTTTTTTAGTTTTTACTTGCAACCCGAAACACAAATAACGTGCCCGATTTAGCGTATATGGTATAGAAGTCTACAAGTGTGAATATATCTCCTTTCTCTGAATGTTTCTTTTGATTTCTTCTCGCAGTACGTTTTTTGGTTTGTTTTAATTAAATTGGGAGGTTCAATGGTTGCGTGTTTAAGCAATTACCATTCCTTCGATCTGATAAACTTCGAGGCATGTTGGCTTAGGATTTCTACATTTTCTGTCCTATTTTCCTTCCCTTCTCATACTGCTTAAGATTCCACAATCAGCGTATTACTAGTGCCGAAAACAGAATGGCCGAATTCGATGTGCGGTTTGCTTAAGAATTTCAACAGATTTTAGTCTCACTTCAATCTCACACAAACTTCCAAAGTTGTTAGAGCAATGAGCACACATAGTTTGCATTAGTTTTATCCTTGTATTAGACTATTCACCATGTACTTTGTATAAATGTTTACCACCAAAATTTAATCCAGGGTTATAACAAACTTACTAATGCAGTTTAAACTTTTTTACTTTAAAAATCATAAAGTCTTTCAATAAAAAGTATGCATTTTGAATTGTTTTTTGTCATATATATAATAATATTATAATATATACAAAAATATCGTAATATATTATGTCTTTTATTTAATCAAATTCTGTATTGAAATTCGGTTTGCTTATACTAAATAAAAATAAAACAAATTGCATATATTTTAAGACCAAACAGTCAAAATTTCAAAGTCCTTATGAAATCTAATTTAATTGTTCCACAATAATTATTAAAATAAATAAAAATTTAATATGTCTAGACCTAATAGATTAAAACTTGGATTTTAATTGTCACATTGAACAACTTTGCACTAACTTAAATAAAAATTTGTATTCAATTAGAGTCATAAACAAATATGTAGATTTTTAAACATTAAAAACTGTATATTATGTAAAGTTGTAGAAATCAAAACATATTCTTGTAGGGAATTAAACGATCTACAAAAAAGATTTGATTTGATATTTTTCTTAGTCGACTCGTTTAAAAGTTATTTGAGGTTAGTTCAACCTTAAATAGTAAATGATGACTTTTATAGTTTTTCATATTACGGAATATTGGCTGAAAAACATGAAATATCATATTTTTCGTGAAGTTCCAGTGTTCTTCGGAAAGACCCGTTTTTTTATATACTTGATTTAAAAAAAAAATCTAATTTAAAAAAAAAAATAAATATTGGAAAAAACCGTTTTTTTCACGATTATTGATATTTCGTAAAAATTGTATTGTTTTACCGAAGAACACTCGTTAAACTTCACGAAAAAAATTGATATTTCATGTTTTTGAGACAATATTTCGTGATAGAGTATGAAAAACTATAAAAGTCATCATTTACTATTTGAAGTTGAACTTTAACCTAATAACTTTTAAAAGAGTCGACTATGCAAAAAATCATATCAAATCTTTTTTGTAGATCGTTCAATTCTTTACAAGAATATTTATTGATTTCTACAACTCATTGATTCGTTAAAAGGAAATAAAATTCCAAACAAAAAAATGTATTTTTCCCGTGTTATTTAAATGGAAAATAAAAAATCGCGATGATATTAAGAGCTCAAACCCAATTTTTTTTTGTCATCTTGGACGATATTTTCATGGTAGCTAAAGAAAAGAAAATTAAAAGTTTTTTGGCCCACCCTAATGCCTAATAGGCCTGCATAAAAAAATTCAATATTTTACCGAAAAATATTAAAAATTTAAATAATTTGAATTTGTTAAAAGTACAGTTTATGATTGGATTTTTAATGATATATTTGATTCCTAATGTTTCCTTTTTTATTTTGACATGTTTCTTTTCATGCAAATTTTTGAAATGAAGATTATTATTATTATTATTATTATTATTATTATTATTATTATTATTATTATTATTATTATTATTATTATTATTATTATTATTATTATTATTATTATTATTCTTATTATTATTATTATTATTATTATTATTATTATTATTATTATTATTATTATTATTATTATTATTATTATTAAACGTTAATCCAATTTGTTGTGAATACAATCGTCCAACTAGTGAAACATAAAACGTCTTACGAAAAAATTTGTGTCCAAATATTCACTTCATAATGTATTG